TTTTAAGATACAAGATATCAGAGTTTTAAAAACATGTTATCTCTAAATATTTTCTGACAAATGAAATTTTGTGTGTAAAATATTCGGCTCAAATTAGTGGCGCTGATTTGAGGTATGTTGGTTATACCACAGTATAGAAAACTGTAAATTAACTCCCCCTATTTTGTGGAGCACAACCCCACTGCTCTAAAAGTCCAGTAAAGGGATGCGTGGTCTATGCGCAATAGCAAGCCCAGTCCCTAGTCCACTAACAAGCCTAGCTTAGCTTTCAGCTTTTGAGGTTCCCTACTTGCGCGTGGTCTCTGCGCAGTCAGTTAAAGCGACATAAAAAATGAAACTAGGGTCCATTTTATAAATAGCTTAGATAGGCAGTGAATTTACTGTTTTCCATAAAAATTATGGAGCGTGTATATGTGGTGGTTCCAGTGTCCACCAATATTCTCAGGGAGTACAGTAGGTACATGAAAAACTTTTTTAATAGTAGAATAATTTTTCGTTTTCTTCCGAGAGTTAATAATAAATGAGATATATGCTTTTTGTAATATTTTGAACAAATTGCGCAACTAAGGTTGTTGTGCAAACAATTGTATAGTGTATGGTGTTGTTTGACGTGCTGTGCAACTAGTTGCAGAAATTCAAAACTGTTTGAAATTAATTGCACAACGAGTGGCGTTGCGGAACTGTCACACCGTGTATGGGCGTACTTGCGACATATTGTGTAATCACTTCAGTTGTTTTCAAGCGTGATAACAGGTTGTTTTTGTATAAAAAGTGTTACCATTTCTAATAATTCACAAAAGTTATGGGGTCCATTCGCAAATAATTTTTATAGTCAAGTGGTGAACTCAATTGAAGTTCTTTGAGGAGATTTGAGCGGCTAAAAACAGTTTTTTTAACCACTCTTTGCATCCTTTTTCTTTTTTTAACACCAACATCCGATGCAATAGAAATTATTATAGCTAGACAGGCTGCGTCGCGAAACGCCATGTTACCATTAAAACAAGACAAAAGCAACTGGAATTTGCAAAAAAAGGCGTATAGTGCATGGGAGACCTTGTTTGCATAACAGCCTGTTGTACAACGTACGTTTGCACAATTTCGTAGGTGTATGGGGAGTTTAACAAAGTGCGCTGCACTTCATATACATATATTTATATAACATGTACCTTCATCGTTTTTGCCTTTCTATCTACCTTTAAAGAAACACACGTTCGATTTATATCTCTGAAACGAAACATCAGAGAGCCTATTGCAAGAAGGGGATAAATCCACAATTTTCAAAAACGAGTTGTTATTATTATAATTAATTAATTATTCCTAATAAATAAGGAGATATAGAATATGTAAACCTGAATTTCTCAATAATAGTTCATTTTGTTGAAACTAAACGAGAGTACTTTTTTATAATTCAGAAACTTTTCAATAATTCAAAAACAAAAAAATTTGGGGATGAAGTAGAGCCATTTCCATGAACTATCCATTAAATAATGATACAAAAAAGTAATATCTAGCTAGGATGTTCTTTTAAAAGGAAAGTATCTCTTTTATTTTCGGAAAAGGTATTTAACCTGTTTAAAATCACTGTATATGGGTGTGTCCGGGTTTAATTGGGAAAATTTAATAGGCAATAGAACTCGCAAAAATAAAACAAAATGTTCATATGAACTTGTATGTTTTAAAGCTTTGTTTTCGAGATACAGAATGTTAAAGTCAATAAAAAAACTTTTTTCAAATATTACAAAAACTACTTTTTTAGCAATAAATAAGAGGCTAAATTTAATGCCATTATATTTAATTTAATTGTTCTAAGGACGGCGCAGACGTCTAGATATTTTACAGAACAATTTGAGCACGTCAATGGTTTTTTATAAGTTTGATATTATTTTTAGATTTAGTCGTTAAAAATACATATTTTGTCATTACTGATTATTTAATTCTATTAATGAAATTAAGTTTATTTTTCCAAGAGCGGGAGGATAAGTGAATTTTATTTTATTTTTTTTTTGAAAATGTAAGCAAGATGGACAGGAAATGCAAGAGACAAAAAAATTGTATTTTTAGCATTTAAAAATAATAAACTAAAAAAAAGAGATATCCTCAAATTTTTCTTTAAAATAGATAGTTATGATTCACCAGTGCCGTCCCTGGAATTATTTATTAAATATAATCAAATCAAATTGAGCCCTTTCCTTATGAGACTAGGCGGTATCTGTTTTGGTTTGGGTGAATCGTATATCCACGGAAATTTTTGGCAAGTTATTGTAGAATCATCACACCAAATTTCATCAAAATCGGTTCGATAGATTTTGCATAATAATTTTGTAATCCAAATTTTGAAAAAAAATTTGCAAATTTTCAAAATTTTGCACAGCAAAACCAAGGCCCTTAGATACTTGAAAATTTAATCACATATAGAAGGGCTCTCAAGCTTTCAAACGCTCTTTGAAAAATTCGAATCTGTCAGTTAGGAGAGCTCTGGCGCTTGTTTAAACATTAGTCGAATTTTTGTACTTATAAACAATTAGAATAACTTTGTGAATATTCAATCAAATCAAATTTTTTTAAAGCAGTTTAAAAGTTATTGGAAAGACGCTTCTTTAAAAAAAAAACAGATCGATTGGTCAATTAGTTACGTAGTTATAGCCAATCAAAGTTAACCGTCATTTACAACTAAATGTACTAGGACGGGATAATTTTTCGAAAAATACCATTGGTATTCCGAGTACTTACCAGGTCTATAACTTTAATAAGTTTGCAATACTTTAAAACGTGTTTATAGTTATTTATGCAAGCGAGAAATTCAAGAAAATCGTACGGGTGGTGGTGGGGGAAGCAGAGAGCGCGGCCGCTTCGGTCTGCTCGAAATTGAATCGGGGAGTTCAAAACCGCGACGCGCTTAAAAATTTTTAATATCTCAGCTTCTAGAGGTCCGATTTAGATGATTTTTTTTTAAATCGATGTCTCGTAAATAAAAAAAACCAATTAGCGTATTTTCAAATGCCTATCGTTAATAATTATTGGTCTTTCAACAGTCCGATAATTATTTATCTTTAATCTTCCTTTAATTATCAACTTCGTTTTTTTATTGTATTAAAGGTAAGTGCATAAACTTATATACTGTTTATCAAAGATAAAAACACATTTATTTAAATATCTAAAAATTGTTTAAACAACAGTTATTTTCAAAATATGTCGAAAATTAGTAATATAATGAGTTAATTTCTCATTTGCTTATATTTTAAACAATAAATAATATTTGAATTTTACTTTAATCGCAAAAGAAATGATGATTAAATTAATAAATTAATTATAAAAAATCAGTGATATTTTATTCATATTTAATTGCATTCATAAATCAGGATTTATTCAGTACACAAATTTTTGTTTTAAATGTATGAATGTATATTATATTTATTTATAATAATAATAATTTGATAATTAAAGGAGATAAATAATTAGCGAACTGTTGAAAGACCAATAATTATTAATGATAGTCATTTGAAAATATGCTAATTCTTTTTTTTTAATCGCGAGACATGGATTTAAAAAAATCATCAAAATCGGACCTCTAGAAACTGAGATATTAAAAATTTGTAAGCGCGTCGCGGTTTTGAACTCGCCGATTCAATTTCGAGCAGGCTGAAGAGGCCACGCTCTCTGCTTCCCCCACCACCACCACCTGACGATTTTCTTGAATTTCTCCCTTGCATGAATAACTTTAAACATGTTTTAAAGTAGGTTGCCAATGAAGAAAATTATTGCAAACTTAGATCTGGTAAGTACTCGGAATGCCAAAGGTATTTTTCGAAAAATTAGCCCGGATGTCCCAGTACATTTAGTGTAAATGACGGTTAACTCGGCTATAACTACGTACCTAATTGACCAATCGATCTGTTTTTTTTTAAAGAAGCATCTTTCCAATAATAATAGTTTTCGCCTAAAATCAACTCTTGAAAAGATACATAATTAAATAGGAAGAAAAATATGACGTTTTTCGAATTTTTTTAACATATTGTGCCGCCAAAAGTTAAGTCCACGTTTTTTTTTATGCGCATAGAAAAATGTTCATTTCTAGTGATATTTAAAAGCCAAAAATCTCCGTGGATATACAATTCACCCAAATACGGGCTTTTTGAAACAGATACCGTCTGGACTATATTACTAAAAATGTATACAGTGCGTTCCAGAAGTAACGCAAAAAATTCGTATTTTACTTTGTGTTGAGTTTTCACAAAAACGCTAAAATACGTCAATTAGTAAATAGGAATTGATGTTTTGTCACGTTGGTTAAACCTTTTTTGCGTTATGAAAAATAACGCAAAAACCTTTTTCCTAAACCTATGACGTCATCGATATTTTTTTTAAATAGCACTATCTAATTTTTTAAGCATAAATGGATAGTCCTTTTGAAGGGAAATACGTCGATATAGGGTTTGGCCTACTTCACTTTGACTGGAACGAAAAGGAGCCAATGACTGGAATGGAGATGGTTTAAAATAACAACAAAAGTAGGTATCATAAACTGATGCGAGAACATTGTCACAGCAAAAAATGGATATTTGGGGATGTTTTGGTTGATTATAGGTACGTTTTTATGTATTGATATGTGGGCGTTTTCGGCGATATGACGAACGGCAGTGTATGGATTTTCAGTGACAGCTAAAAATAACATTTTGCCTATCATTTTCTATCACTGTCGTTGGCCTTCCAGATCTAGTCAGATCTCTAACATGTCCATCGTCTCTAGGCCAAACCCTATATCGACGTATTTCCCTTCAAAAGGACTATCCATTATGCTTAAAAAATTAGATAGTGCTATTTAAAAAAAATGTCGATGACGTCATAGGTTTAGGAAAAAGGTTTTTGCGTTATTTTTCATAACGCAAAAAAGGTTTAAGCAACATGACAAAACATCAATTCCTATTTACTAATTGACGTGTTTTAGCGTTTTTGTGAAAACGCAACACATAATAAAATACGAATTTTTTGCGTTACTTCTGGGACACACTGTATATATAACTAACGGCCAACTAAAAATAAAGCAGCATATTCTAATGTTTTCTTTTTTCAATAAAAATTACTTTTTCTCTTTATTGAACGTCATTTTACAGACGCACTGTATTATTATTAATGTTTAAGAACATATCTGAATAAAAACAAATCAATAAGACATTCTCCCTTTTAAGTAACGTTCGTCTAAATTTTTTAGTATGATTTTAATTCTGTCTATAGTTTCAGCCTTTCTATTTTTGACATCATCATCGATATTTTTAATATCGTACACTTTTCTCCAATAATTGTGCAAGTTGTCTTTAAGAGTTGCAAAATACAGATCTATTTCCGATTCTGTCATCTTATTAATACTGCATTCCAGTTCTTCTACATGACGAATAATTGGTGTCAACTCTGGAGATTCTATTGCGCTTTCAGTGCTCGCATTTGAGATAACCTTCGTTGGATCAGTTTGGGAGGAAGTAGATCCGCTGGATTCTAAATCGACTATTTCCGTGGCCTCTACTTTGGACTTCACTGGTCTGCATTTTTTATTTGGTGAAGATGATTGTTTCTGTCCCATTACTGAAAAATAATGTGATACAAAAATTTACAAATAATAGAAACTAAATAAACTGTATTGTTTGAAAATATTTATTTATCGTCTCTATTTTTACATAGGTACACGAAGAAATTCGTTAAATTTAATAAAAAAATTGAAACATTATTTTATGAAGGTCCTTAAGACATTTGAGACTCGAATAGATTATCAAAGCGAATGGGAGGAAAATTTTGGTACCCTGGAAAGAGGTACCCTATGGAGCCTGATATGGTTTACGTATGGCTCTAAAATGGTCATAGGGAAGGGTACAGAAGTATATGGACTCAGACCCTAATAGACTGCAAGCTACAGTCTGGGGAAGTTTGTTACTGTCCTTGTGTGGGAATGTTTACAAATGCTGACTGAACTGCGAACCACTAATACAATTAGACTGTGTTGGGTACCAGGACACAAAGCATTGATGGGAACGAGAAAGCGGATGAACTTGCTAGGAAGGGATCCGAAACAGAGTTCATTGGAACCCAAGGAGCTGAGAAAAGTGTCGGCAAGGAAGTTTTTGGACTTTGTAAAAAGGACAAAACTACTTTCTGAATAGGACTGAGTATGGACTGAGATGCACAATAGGCCTGATAGGTCCGCGGGGCTATGGGACTTAATTAGAACCAACCACTAGAAGAAGAAGATGAAGAAAAAATTGTTATTGAAAGTGGGGTTTTACTTTCACTTGATATTCTCAGTATAGTTACTCGTATAAATCCCGGTGTCGGACAAAATGAAGGAATTATTAGCACAAAGAGGTAAAAAAATATATCTAGTGTTGACGATTTGCACAGGCTAAGCTTTATCTGTGATAGAACTCCTTAAAATAAGAAAAGAAGAGAAGTTTCCTTAAAAAGGGTTTCGAAAACTTTAATTTTCCCCTTTAAAAATATATCTCTGAAAATGTTTGTTGTAGATATCTATCCATCAAAACATTTATAAATAATTGACTGAAAGTAAAAAAAATCACTATAATGGTTTGCATATATGCCAGTGGCGGGGATACAGAGAGGTGTTGTTATGAGCCCTGAAACTATGTAACAAGTTTATTTTAATTTAAAAAAAATAACTGAATGTTCATTTATCGGATAAATTGAAATATACAATTTTTCTTAGAAAACTAAATTTACAATTACATTTCCACTTAACAGCCAGTAGTACCAGTTTTTTTTTTTTGGATTACGCCTCTTATTAACTACTCCACTGGTTGATAAATTTGTATACCAATTCAATGGACGTTTGCTAATAAATTATTATTAACCCAAGTTTCATCTATCTAGAAACACGCAGTTAAACAAAAAAATATAATGGAAGATATCTATGCCCAACAATGTTTCGTGGTTTCAAGTAACAAAAAATATTAATCATCTTGCATATTATTTTGAATTATAATTATAATGTTAAAGCGCCTTTTGTTTTTATGACAGGTCGGAATTGCCAAATAATAATTAAATACGGTCCTGCCATTTGAAAAAAGGTTACAGACTCTGGTATTTGTCTTTTTTTAAATATCAAATAACTGCCAGACGTCTGGATCTGGATGACAGTTCCCAAATTTTTTGCACTTCATTTGGGATCGGCCTTTATAGAGCATTTAAAAATAGGAACATTTATTGCTGCATATTTAATTAATTATACTATGATTACTATGTGTATTGTGTTTGCGTTCAGATGGATAAGCTGCAGAATGTTTATTGTTCACATATATACGTATGAATTTACATTTTAAGATAAAAAACTGCATTATAAACAACTTCATATGCCGTTGAAAGAAACAATTGACAGCCAGATGAAGAAAATATAATCTACTTTTTTAAATAAATTATTTTCTTAGAAGTTTAAAAAGCATTTAATACATATCTCAATAATAATTAATTGAACTGATTTTTCATGAAGATTAAAGATTTCCTTATAACAGTTTTTTGCTGGGACGTAACATAATCTCTTATTAAAAAATAGTAAAACATTTTTTGTCAACTATTTCTTTAAATTTCTTTTTTTATTTTAATCTGCAGTAAAATAAACAGCGTTTCAGATTTTTTGATAAAATTTGGTACACTAGTATTTTGAGGAATCCTCATTTACGTGCTTATGGCAAATTTTCTAGAAAAATGTCAATAATGATAATAAAATAATATATGTTTTTTCAGGTTCTGATATTAAAAAATGATCACAGCTGACCCCAAATTCATATCCTAGTGGCGCTAAAATATTCAAAAGGCAGAATTTCATGTTTTTTTTTCAACAAAATAAAAAATTAAATATGTATCTCATTATATGGTTTAGTAAATAATCATTATCACCATGACTAATAGTATTTGTAATTATAAGAATAATAATTTGATCTCAGTTTCTCCCAAGTTATTTATGTGAATTATTATCTATAATCCTCATAACTATATAAATATACAGGGTGTTCCATTTAAGACGAATTCTTAACTCTTCAATCAACGATTCAAAAAATATTCTAAATCAAAGGTGCACCAAATTTTCAATTATACTATACAGGGTGTATCATTTTTTCTGGGTGTTACCTAATTTCCTTTTTCCAAATTGAACGCTCTTATATTATGGCATTTGTGAATTTCTCGTTGAAATTTTGGTCTATTTTGGTAGACATGTAAACGTTTCAGTATTATTTGACGTTTCTAAAAAATCGGCGTACAGTCTTCAAACATACCAAGTATCTTCAAAACAAAAGGTTGTAACATAATGTGATTTCAAACATTTGTCAAGACATGAAAAGTACCTAACCTACATTTCTTTCTTGATACATTTGAAACAGAAAAATAGTATTTTATTTTATTTCAAATTTTTCTACCACGGATATTTTGACTTTTTTATATGAAATAATTTAATTATCTTATAACGTGACGAAATCGTGTTATATATTTTTTTAATCTTGATCCAAATCTGTTTATTTTCGTCCAAGTTACCTACTCTTGAAGTAAGGCCCATTCATTTCCGAACACCCTGTATATTTACATTAATATTAGTAAGATATGAACAAAATAAAGCATTGCCTGTAATATTTTCTCATTGATTAATAAAAATATTGTAAATCATTTTGTTTAATTAAGAAGGTTGTAGTATACATCTATTCTTAATCCTGCAAAGATTAAACGTAGATATTTTTATGATTAATTTATCAAAGAACATTTAAACTGGATTTAACTAAATTCCTTAGCAACAGCCAATAAATTAGGTATCTCATACGTTAGAAACGAAATTAGATTTAGTTAAACGGTAATTAGACAAATTGGTTAAACAGGCTAACAAAAATTAATAATGGTTTTAAAGCACTCTCAGTAAAGTACTGATATTGAAAGTACGACGGACGGTTTGTTATGCAATGACCTATGTACCTGGTCGCCGTCAATTCTACAGATTGATCTTAGTATTCAGTCGAGGCGAAATCAGAATCACTGCTGTAGACGCCAACACTGAAAAATGGCAAAACGTTGGGAAGCATTGGATACGACCAAGCCACTAAGGAATGGTTCAGTGATGCACCATTGTCTGAAGAGCGGTTCAATCCATTACGACTTTATAACCAACAACAAGAACCGAAATGGAGATTAGGGCGGTGTAAGGGATTCTGATGGCGGGTCAGCCCCACTGAGCCTAGCCCGAGAACAATAAGAACAGGTCAAAGTTCCTAGATAAGGCTATAGTCCAGTCAAATTAGAGTTTGAACGTAAAAAAATATTAGTAAACATTATATTGCATTTTATGACGGGAAAGGGTATGTAGCATGATAATATAAAAAAACTAACACGAAAGAAGTGACGCTAAGTTGGCAAATTGCAAATAAGTGGCAAAATTATGTGTATTTTCACTTTCTTTACTGCTTATGAAAATCTAAACGATCTATCGGAAAATTTGCTTTTTTTGTTATAAACAATTAAATTACGTACAATTTAAGGTATCTAAAGTCATATTTCACCAATTTGTTAACTGTAAAATAAAGCTCGAACGCGGAAAAACCAGTTTTCGAAAATTCTCCATTAGTACCTATTGCAAAAAGAAATGGATATTGATGAAATTTATGGGAAAGACTGTCAATCCAATGATCAACATGTGTGCCAATTCGATTGACTGTGAAATTGTTGGTACAGGTATTTGTTTAATAATTTCTTCTGCTTTTTTTGCAACAAATTGTTTAATTACTAAACGTTAATCCCAGAAGTTAATATAGTAGATATAGGTTCTAATTGAATTGACCCAAACAAACGTATCGAAAGAGAAAAATTTCAAAAAGTTGAAATTCAAGTTGCTCTTTTACAACTAACATAGTAGGATGTGCAAAATAGCGTTAAAAATAATATATTCTCTTAGAGTCAGGCAAGAGCCGCTCTGGAATTAACTCTTTTTGCATTAAATATAGCTTATTTGTACGGTAATTAAAAAAAAGAGAGTCAAAAATATCGCGTGCGGCTGAGAACGGCGCTCAAGCGCATGCGCGAGAGCAATCCGTTCATTAACATTTACCGTTGAGTGAGAATACTATTTCGCATTAAACGCTTTTACAGCTGCTAGCGCGTTTAATACATGGGCTACACAGCCACACAAAAAAATCGACTTTCGGGCCCAGAGGTCAGACCATGTTTATTATAATTTTTTTGGGTTGCTGAATCCGAATCCGAGGTCCATTTAACCCCATCATCTTAGGATTTTTCATAACCTCAAAATAAAAAACGATATTCTGAAAAATTAAATCATATAACCATAAGACTCAAACTTCGAACGCTAAATTCTATTAACCAAATCCAATAAACATTCAACCCAAGGATATCCTAACCTAATAAGCCCATGAACCCAAACCCCAATAACCCTATAACCCCATAACCCCATAATTAAGGGAATAAATCATAGGCAATCTGTATTATTGCAAAATATCACATAGCTCCTTGAAATTCCTAATACTACTCAAACCCAAAATGCATATTGATCTGGTCACATCACATCTTTAAATTAAAAAAAA